TGGCTGATTTCAGATCTTTCTTTGAAACAAGCATTTTTTGGGAAGTGCAGGGAGGAAAGACACTGCCAGAGCCTGCATCCTGTCTGAGGCGTCGGAGAGCTAAGCAGAGACAGAGGACTGGTAGCCAATCTTGTGGCTTTGATTGTGAGTGAATCCCTCTGTCAATCTCTCCACATAGTTCTCATCCTGTACAGAATAACAAAATGAGTATCTTCTTGGCCTCAGGAGAAATGCAGTGCTTTTCAAAGTGTGGTCCCTAAGACTCCAGCATCAGAATCATCCAAAAACGCTCATTAAACACACAGATTCCCAGGTACTCGACATACCCCTTTCCAGGGGGGTCTCTGAGGCTGAGCCCAAGGAATCTGCCCTTGTAGCCAGCTCCCAGGATGGCTGCTGTGAACATTGAAACTTGAGAGCTATTGCTTTTGAGGATAAATTAAACAATGATAATATTAATGAATGTGAGGTAGACCTACATGAAAGCTATTTTGTGGGATTTCTTTTACATCTCTTTCCTTATCTTAAAATCACATGGTGTTATTTTTAAAAATTACACAAACCTGTGCATGTATCATTTCACTTTGATGCATAAATGTGATCTACATTTATATCTGCATGCAGACTATTTTCGTTTCTTTTCCTTTTTGCAAGGCTACTACCCCCTTTCTCTGCCCCTATCTCCACCAGGCGCCTTGCAATCTATTGCAGCTCAGTTTCTAGTCTCCCTTATAATCCTACACACACATATAAACATATGTAGTCAGACATATATGAGTAGGTGTTGCTTTTTGTATTTCTAAAATAGAAACATATTTTACTTTTTTTTCTGTATTTTGTTTTTCTCACTCAACAAAACAATAGAAATACTACCATATTGCATGTTTGACTCCAATTTATTCTTTAAAATGGTTACATAAGATTTCACAGTGTGGATGCATCAGTACTTATTCAGTCATTCCCCATGGACAGACATACTTTGTTCCCAGGTTGCTGCTGCTATGAACATGCAGCAATTAACATTGTTGTTTATTATATATATATGCTTTATTTCTGGGGGATAGATTCTTACTCATAGGATAGATAGCTGTGTGTTTGCTATAATAATGATTAATATTATAATAGTATTTTTTGCAGGGGGTTATGCAGTTTTATTTTTGATAATTCTTGTCAGTTCGCTTTCCAAATAAGACAATATTTATTTGAATGGTAATTCATATAGGAGTATTTTTGCCCTTTACAACTTCTCATAAAAATTTATATTAGTAAGCAAAGTATAATTAGTTATATAAATTTATAACACTGAAATTTAAATGTGCTTCATTTTACAAAGTTCCAATTTTTCCAAGTATCCTAGTGCTCTACAACCTGAGTTTCACTAATATAGCACAAAACAAGAAAATAAGTATTGAGTTCTGAGTGCCATGGGAATGTAAGCAAGAAAACAAAACAAAACCAGGCTGCCTGCAATGAGACTACCCTTCAATAGATTAGATAGATACATAGATACATAGAGATATGAAAAAACCTCCAATATTGGCCCTACCTTGCCAGCTGCCAAATCTGATAGCACCGGTTTTCTTGCAATGTTAAATATGCAGGACCAGTCAAGGTCAAAGGATATTTTCTGGGAACAATAGCCATTCTCTTCATTTTTTTTTTTTTTTAAATGATATGGAGGAGGAAAAAAAAAAAAAGATGTGACCTTGCTAGATTCACTTCAGCCAATCCTTGTTTGATGTGAACATCTCTAAATGTCTGGACAGGCAACAAGATGCATAGACAATTTGCCTTCTGGTCAACCCCAAAGTGCCATTTATAATTCATGGCAGGATTCAAAATGAGAAGTTTAAGGAAGACAAGAACGGTAGAGAAAAGGAGAAAAGAAGAGGTGGAGAAAGAGTAAAGTATTAGGTCTGTGAGCTAAAGGAGGGAAAACGGCTTAATTATGGAAGAAAAGACACATACATAGGATAGCTTGAACAGGCAGAGTTGCCGTGGAAGCACATTCCAGGGAAATCTTAAGAGATTACTTTAATAATAAACCATGCATTCTTCAGCAAGCCATCACGAGATTAACCACCCTTTTCCTAGGCTGGGAGTGCAGTCTTTTGCTTTATGTTTCCTTCTTCCTCCTTCGAAGGCAAGTTTTGTGCAAGGAACAACTGTCATTCAAGGACCATAGTTTTTTGAACACTGCATTGAATTTCCCTCCTCTTAATTTTCTAAACATGACTTTCAGTGGTGAGAAGAAAAGACCATGGTTTGTTTAGGCAGGGTGGACATCTGGGTGGCTTTTGGTGTGATTCTCCAGATGCAAAGATGTTCATTTTAGACCTACCAAAAAGTAAACAACTTTCATGTGACAGAGACAATGTTTCACCAGGGATAAAAAGAGTTAAATTTATTTTCATTCCTTTTTTTTTTCCTTAACGTGAGCAGGACATTGAATTACTGCCAGAAGCAATATCAGTGCCCTAGAGATATAAAAATACACTTCAAACCAGAATTCTCCACTGTCAGCTTTTCAAATTTCTGTGTAAAACAAAAGGTGTCCATTTTAAGTTGTATGTGTGAGTCCGCTGCTCGTAAGTGAACTGTTTTCACTAATGTCTTCTCTTGAAACTACAGCTCTCTTGAAACTATAGCAGATGAAATCATTTTCCACTTCTAGCTTCTTAAGACAAATCTCTTTCATTTGGTGGGATAGAGCAGACAAAGTTACTATTTCTAGGAAAAGTCTTTCAATTTAAAAAGTAAGTAATTCACTTCTCAATTGAGAAATATATACTGAGGTTAAAAGAGAGATCTATTTCTTTGAAATTGTCAAAGCCTCTATTTGCCTGAAATTGGCACCATCCCTCTGGACTTCTGGATTTTAGAAATAAAGCCTTATGTTCTAAGATGTACCAGAATTAAAGTGCTCTGCAAAAATGTTATAAATACCATCCTAGGACTAAAATGTATGTCCCACTTGTCGTTCACACATAGTCACTTTTTAATTTAATTTTTAATTTTTTTTTTAGAGACAGTCTCACTCTGCTGCCCAGGCTGCAGTGCAGTGGCATGATCATTGCTCACTGTAACCTCCAATTCCAGGACTCAAGCC